TATATATATAGTTTATTAAACATACAGTGCAGTGCCTTAAGATACAGTATTTCATGATCAAATGCATGTATAACAGTTGTACTTTTGCTTAATAGTAAATAGGAATACAGAAATGTTTGAAGCAAACAAAAAATAAACACTTATTTAGCAAGGTGAACTGCAACAATATGAGGTCTTGAGCGCAGACTCCTGTGTAGTTATGGTTCTAGTAAAATGCTGTTATTTATGTACTCGCAACCTCAGAAAACTTCTCATATTTAGCTTTGTGCAACATGTTGTAGTGGCCACTTACAGCGTCTCTAAGCAGGCTAAACACATAAGTTTGCCTTAAAATCTCCCCACTTTTATTGTTAGTTTTCCTTTTTTTTAACTTAAAAACAGTTCTTAGATTCTAAGAATTAGATTCTAGATCAGTTTTGAGTGTTTTTTTAAGTTAAAAAAAACAAAAGAAGGTCCTTTACAGGCAAGTCAGATGGAAGTCATTTAGCCCGGGGGCCACCAGTTGCTAATCCCTGCTTTGCACATTAGTTTGTGCCTAAACATAATTTTTTCAAAAGTCTGACCAAAACATCAACAACAATTTAATTTCTCCACATACAGTAAGATGCTTTGGCATAAAAGGCATTAGATATGTATGAACATCTAAGCCTTTATTTATTTTTCACTAGCCTGTTTTAAATTTTTTAATACATGTCCCACTCTGAGAGAAAGAAGTGTTTATTGTCGAGAACCTAAAAATAAATCCAGAACTACAATCCAGAGGATTTTTTTTCACTTTTTATTTTGAAGCAAGAAAAAAAGGCATTAACAACACACCAAAAGCTTCAACACAACATGTACTGTGTTTCAGAACCGTAACTGAGAAATATTAGTTTACACTAAATTACATAACATGCACGCTCAYGGCCTTAAGCATGACTCGAAGTCCCGCCACGCAAAACGTACACCGCAGACGGGGACACCAGACGCTTCCCTCTGTGCCTTTAAACAAATAATAACCTGATTTTCTGTCTCATTAAAAATAGAYGCAAATAGAGCAAAATTACTGTCATCACATGCTACTGCTCAGCCACACATTTCCTTCTTGCTTTGCCTGTCACGCTCTCAGTTGTTGCGTCTACGTGACTAAATGTGTTTTCCTGCTGTTTGTGGGAAAAAATCTTGTGTAAGTGGTTTTAAAAAAAACTCTTATCTTGTGAATGTGGTTGTGCACGGAGAGGAAAAAAACAAAGAACACTCATTTATAAAATTATGAAACCGGCCTGTTGGATGTTTGAGTTTTTCTCAGACAATAACTGTCACAACATAAGAGATCAAACAAAACGTTACGATGTATTTGCCCGATTTACTGGTTGCTCCTTTATTTTTCATTTGTCTTCCTGATCCAAACACTTTGCCATGGCTGCTTTGTTTAGCTCTTGTGTTATGTAAAAGCATGAGGTCAGGTAAGTTGTGCAGAAACACAGAACAGATCCGATCAAGTGTTCTGGAAAAATGATCACTTATTTCAGTCAAGAGAGAAGCTCTCTGAGCTTTTTATGTTTAACAAATTATACATTCTTGCTGCTATGGGCACTTGACTCTGTTGCTCTTAACCAAACAGTGATATTCAAACCCCAACGACTTTTTAGAAAATAAAGCAGCCGTTCAGTAAAACGTAATGAATCTGTGCTGAAGGACACAGCTTTTTTTCTTCAATTACAAAGATAAAAAATGTTAGAAAACAATGTAATGTCTTTTTTCAGAAAGTTAGCGAACATTTTTGTTTTCCTCTTTTCACATTGACAAGTTAAAAAATGCTTTTGAACAATAAAGTAAGTTCAATCAGGCTTGCAATCATTTCCACATTTTTTGATTTCACACTGAAAACAGTAATTTTCTCTGTCGAAGGTAAAAACACGATTGTGTTAATCTGTGTTATTGGCACAATTTCTCATGAATCACCAAACAAACTTTAATGGGAGTCCAAAAACAATCACCAGATCTACAACTGAATAATGTTAACTCAATTAATTTTAACATCAAAATGGCTATGAGCTAAAACTTGTGTGGTAGTAGCTGACAGTCATTCTCAACACATAGTCCAAGTTCTAGTAGATCGTGTGTTATGTTATTTTACATAGCTCCGTCATTTCATAAAAGTTCATCTCAGTTTAAAACTGTGGCATGTAAGCCAGCGAGTGATTAAATGACTTTTTTTTGTGTTCACTATTGACATAAAAAGTGACGTTTGTCCTCACACGTTACTTGTTTGACATTACACGCAGTGCATGGATTTGCACCAAAATAAACTTCGGTAACACGACACACAGCATTTGACAACTCTTGGACCTTGAAAGCATATATAAAAAAAAACAATAACTTTGCTTCTTTTCTTTTTATTCTGCAGCTGACTGCTTCAAAATTCGAAAAGAACAATAATCAGCGGCTTATTCTTGGAAAATTGTCTGAAAGCGTCGCAACTAAGAATGGACCCATTGTGTGCTCAGTGCGGCATCACTCTTCACTTAAAGAACAAAGCAAAACATGCAAGTGAAATTCTCTCAAATGCACCGTTTAAAGTTATACGTATAGATTTATACACAGCTGTTTAGATAACAAAGCAGAATTAGTAAAATCTTACTGCAACGACTTGCAACAATTTTCATAATCTTTTTTTATATTGTATAAAAAGCAACACAATAGATACGTTTAAGATAAATACAGTTAGGGAATTATAAAAAAATACTGAATCACGTATTTGTGTAGAGCAACAACAACAACAAAAAAAGGCATCTTGCACAAAGAGTATACAACAAACATGTAAGTACAAGCAATTTTAAAGATTATAGCAGATGTCCATTCCTACTTGGCACACTTGTTAAATCCTCCAGAGGAAAAATAAGTCTATTAAATGTCATGTAATGGCTGTTAGACTGTGGTTAATCACTGAGCAACAAGAGGTTGCTCCTACAACAGCATGCGATCGGGCTGAGGTGTCTTCTGTCATTGCTGCAGAGCCTTCACAGTTTGGCACAAAGATCTACTGTAACAAACGCAAATCATTTCCTGCTGTACATTCAGAAGTTTGTCAGCTTTTGTGAAAATAAGAAACATATCGCTCCCTTTTTTTTCTTAAAAACAAAACTTAAAAGATTTCTGTTTTATGAAAAGTTTCATCCAAATCAAGTTTGATTGGCTGATTAAGGTAAAGTCTAAAGTGAAGTGAGGAAACAGGAACTTCATTGATGAAAAGAACACAACCCGTAAAGGCGACACTTTTCGTAATCCTGAAAAATGCTGCGGCCAGYGTGGCGTCGCGTAGCTCGGAGATTGGTGCTAACCGTTAGCGTCGACCCCCCGCTGCGTTCCGACTCAGACAGATTGAAAAACACAGCGGGGGCAAATGACTCCGAATTACACCTTCTATTCAGCGGAGTCTTCACGCGGGCAGAAAGCCACGGACCTTTTGAGCTGTAACAACTGTAAATCCACATTCCCCGTGACTCCCGTTGTTTTTCTGACAAGTAAAAGTACTTCTCTCAGGAGACATCCTGAGGAACTGTGGCAGAGTGGCGTGAAGGCATACGAACAATTAACAGGTTTGTCTTAAACATGTAGGAGATAACTAAGGCAAAGTAAATAAAATATTTCACTACACTAAAGTGGTTTGTCRTCTGTCTACTTACTGGTGAATGTTTCTCTCTACACAGAGCACATGAAATGAAATTAAAACTCAAAATTGCTAAACTGGACCGTGATATTCGTAATGTTTAAAGCAGATTTATTTCACTGATYTTGCTGCTTGGATGAGTTTAAAAACCAAAGATCTGTGTAGCCACATGAGCAGCAACGGGTCCACAGCCTGACTCGGTGCAAGTGAAGCGGTCCGTGCTGCTCAGCTTCTGGCCGGGTTCTGGGTTTGTGCTCGTGTGGTTCCTGTGCATGAGATTAAAGCCCCGTGGTGACCTGCGTCAGTTCTGAGTTGAGATCGTCGTTGGTGACGCCACCACAACAGCGAGCGTCCGCCGACGACCCCTCCAAGGCTAGTCATACCTGCAGAGGGGCAGCAAAGGTACAAGCTTAGGTCTATCTGTCAATTCAAAGTAAACTTTGTTTTTTTTTCATCAGAAAATTTTAACTTTTACTCAGCTGAGTGATGAACTCGCCTGTTAGCAAAATATCACATGAACTGGGAAGATTTGATTTCATTTTCATTCATGAAATAAGCTGTGTGTCTACGTACATCTATGGATAATTAGATTTGGGGAGTGTTGGTGAAKTGGGCAGAGAAGGTTAGCCTATGATCAAAAGGTTGCTGGTTCAACTCCCTGGACCATGGGCCCTTGAGCAAAGCTCTTAACCACTAAGCTCCACATGTCTGCACACGAGTCATGAGAAAAATGCAGAGAAATAATTTTTCCACCATTGAAAATAATAAAAACTCACACAACCAACTCAATTCAAGATGGCCGCCACATAGTTAAAAATAATTAGCTATTGAGCTAAAATTTGGTGTGTTAGTAGCCGAGATGCTATGACCTCTGCACATTGCATGACACTTTTGCATTAACAGTTAAAACCAACTCTGTTTTTTAAATATCTTGTGAATAGCCTAACAGACGTGACTGAACCTCTCAAACATTAATAATTAGATAAAATCAAACTGACCTTTTGGAAACATTAAAATAGTTTGACCTCAATCAATTTTACACATCTTGAGCTAAAGTGTGTCAGAAAACAGTTTCAGCAACTGAAACAGCATAATTTGAACTTCAGGAACAAAAAATAATTAGATTTAATACATCTTTTAACACTTTTGGCTTTTTTAAATTCGAACAAAATGGCCACGTGTTAAAAGCAGAGCTGCACAGATTACCTGCTGATTGGACCTTTCGCCCGTGTTTGCAGTGTTGTGTTCTCGCTGTGGGACTTTACGGCTGGTGGCTCCGGTTCTGGAGGAGTTCTGGGTCTCCAGCACTGAAGGACTCGGGGTGCAGAACTCACGGAAACAACGCTTGAAGTTCTCATCCAGGTAACCGTAAAGAACCGGGTTCAGACTACTGCAGGAGAAAACCATAAAAAAACGATTCAGCTTTGTTTATAAGTCCATTCATCCATCCATCCATCCATCCATCCATCCATCCATCCATCCATCCATCCATCCATCCATCCATCCATCC